CGCCAGTCACCGTCTTCAAAGGGCGGCGGCAGTTCCGGTAATGACTCGGCAACGGGTGGGGGTGAGGTGAAACGTCCGGCCGGATCTGGCGGTGCAGCTGGCACATTGCACTGCTCGGGTCTTGGCCGCCGTGAGAGTACCTACGGCCCAAATTCAGCTTGGTTGATAGATACAACCCTCATCTCACTGCATGGTAGGTATTCTTTTTTCGACAAAACCGAGAATAACTCGAATACTGGGCTATCGGTCACTCGGAAATCGTAACACCAAGAAGCGCGAGGCTCCTCACCTTTTTGATTGGGCTCATCATGGAAATCATTTTCCCCAGTTTGGCAACAATACACACACAAGTTTATATTTGCCCCCAAAATAAACTTTTGCCTTTTGTTGCCACGCCAGCCGTATAATTTATTCAATGATAGACCCAATCAGAGTGAAGCATGGCGCGTCTTTGTGTAATGAGTTCCGATCGGCTGGTAACATAACCTTCGAATTATTGTCAGCATTGTCAAAAAAGAAAAAGAATGCCTATCACACACAAAGTTGATAGATGAGGGCTGTATGTACACACAGCGTTTGTAGTTGTAAAATATGCAGGATAAAATTTTTGTCGGTCGAAAGGATGAAACATGTGACTGGCGACCTTTCGGCGGCTCAGTTTATGACAGGTGGTGCGCCACGCTCAAGATTGTTTTACGTATGTAGAAGAAACCGCGGCGCGTAGTTCAAAGAATCTTCGCAGCCTTATCATGCATCAATTTTGAATCGCGTGTGTAGCTTTATCCCCAGAATATCACAGATCACGGTCAGGTTACGTAGTCTTGAAAACAATGCGATCCTGATATTTATTCAGCTTATCTCTCAGATGTTTGCAGCTGATAGCCACTGATAGCCGATGATATTTTTTTTTATTTATTTAGTGCCTAGTGGTCACTTGAAAGGTTATGTCAAGTCATAAAATTCACCAGCAGTTTTTCGATAACACCTTTCGATTAAATCATGGAAAAACACGAAAGCGCCTGGAAGACGTTTACCTACCTCACCAATATGGATTGATTGATATGCACCATGACCTTTGCAAAGTCAGCAGGGGCTCCGCCACATTTCCAGGATTGAGGGCTAGACCCAAAAATGCAGCATACATTGGTTGGCATTTCGGAAGTGAAATAATGGGGGGGGGTTCGGACCCTGCAACCCCACCCCCTCCAGGTGGCGGTGGTGGAGCCGCTGCCAGTCAGGGGTCATGACCTTGGCTTGAAGTAAAAATTCCAGTTGACCTTTTACGGTCATATTCTAGCTTATTCGAGTCGATACGTCTTGTCGAGAGGAATACCTACTATCGTGCTGAAAGAAATGCTCTGCATTTATTGAGTCTAAGGTAATTTTACAAAGACCTTGTCAGAGACATTCAGCTATTGGGGCAGCTTTTGCTCTCCGCGGTTCAAACCGTTGACCACAGGTGAAATTTGAGGACTTTGTAAATAAGGCGATGTGAAAGGGCTATCAAATGCGCTTTTTACAACGATCTAGCTCTTTTAGTTCACGAGTTATGTGACTATTTTTGAAAAATAAACGCCTTAAAGGGACTATCCCACCTTTAACATGGGGTTTGAGTTGAGATAGCCAAGTTTGCGGCGAGGTTCAGAAACCACTATCTATCTAGGTTGCAACCCCCGCGGCCTCTTGGTGTTGAAGAAATTCGTTTCCTTCATTTGAAAATGGGCCTTGTACAAGGCCCTATCTTCAACATGGAGCGACCGTTAGTGTGACGTCACCTCGTTTAGTCATTCTGATTTAAATGGGTTTGTTCGTTGAAAAATCGCTTAAAACTTGGTCTGAACTTCGTTGTGGTGCCTACAGAGTAAAAAGAATCAGCTTTATGGCAGTAATGTGGCCTGGGGAAGGAGGTAATCTTGGGCTGTGACGTCACATATTTGAAAGTTTGTGTTTGGAATATGGGAAGCCTAAGATGTTTAATGAAAAATAAATGCCAGAACCGTGTTCCTGGTCATTCAATCTATAAAGTCGGGCACAATTTAACTGGTTTTATCAAACATTTTAGAAGGTGGGATAGTCCCTTTAACTAAATATTACAATGAGCAAACCGACGTACACATTTCCCTTCTTTGAGTATTGATTAAATTGGAAAGGCCTGTTTATCAAAATCATCAGAGATAATATGCTCGTAAGTGTTGAACAGAATCGATTTGATATGTGGTATGCTTGATTGTTACCCTGACAGTTGCTGGGTTATTTTGCCACTCTCCACTTGCTGGGCAGGGTGTTAAACGCCCCCAGCCGATGGCTCGAGAACCAATAGGCGCGGCGAAACGGGCGAGACGGCAAACAAAAGAACGCTACAAGACGCTTCTAATGAGCGCTTAAAAGGTTGAACTTTGAGGTAACGGGTTGGGTCAAGGTCAGGTTAAACACCTGAAATAGGGCTAACGGCAGCATGGACTAAAGAACCTCGTCTAGGTGTCTCTCGTCAAAAACTCTATCGGGATTATGCAGAATCTCTCATTGAAGCACTACACGAGTGTCAGCTTCATGCACGGGTCAGTTAAGCCTAGGTCAAGGTCAAGGCCAGGTCATTCAGGTAAGAACATGCCCCGGAAAGTCAAAGTTGGCATTCGCGGCAATCGCTGCATATATGGCAAATGTTTTATCGGTGCTTTAAGGCTTTAGAACTCGATGGTGACATCCATTATTATCAAATGAGTACGTTTTCGGTCAAAATGTTCAACTTAACAAGGGGGCATCATACATAATGGCTGTAAAGTAAATAGGTACGAGAAATTGCTAAGATTCAGTTCAAGATCATGGAAAATGTAGAACAATCATCAAAAATCGAAGATACCGTAAGGTCGGGCTTCTTGAGACAGTGGGCTATTTGAGACAGAAGACGATGGTTTGGTAAAATCGCTATAAAATGAAAAACGTTTATTTTTTTCATTTTTGCTCAGGTCGGTGTGGAATCGAACGGTAAATTCCCTGAGCAAAAATGACAAAAATATCAAACGTTCTAGCGGTATTTTAAAATGACAAAAAAAATCTAGCGATTTTACTAAACCACTACATAGGTACTCTCTCAAATATAGTCTCACTGTCTTAAATAGCCCCACCTTGCGACAGACATTTGATTTTAGAGGATATTGGCAGTCTAATTGCCTCTACGATATGTATTGTCAGGCTATTAAATATTTGGTCTATTCATTTATTCATCTAGGCCAGATTAATCTATTATAGTTTGTTTATTTTAACCCTATTCCTGGCGGGGGGGACCTCAGGAGCCCCCCCTCCTGAGGTTTTTTGGTTATTTCTCCCAAACGCGTTGAGCTAGGAAGCTCAAATTTTCTGACTTTTCCTAAAAGGCTTCTACGCAACATGTCTGAAAATTTTGAGTTGATCTGACCTCAGGTCAGGTCACCAGAGGCGGTTTGGTGACCCTACCTCAGAAAAGTTTGCAATCACGCCAGAGCTAGAGTTTTTGACCGATCAATTTCTTCTCTTCAGGCTTTAGTTAGGGTACCAGTATGTGCAATTTGTATATCTCGGAATTTTGATATCGGTGACCTAAGGTCAGGTCAGTTTCGCGACCTCCCCATTATAAGGCAATGGGGGAAAAATCAACTCCCTGTTTTTACCACTAGAACGGGTCGGAATGGCCCCATATACCATACATGACTTCATATACGATCAACCTTCACTACCTTGAGGTCTGTTTTGCTGTTGGGCAGCTGTGAGGTCATGTGACGTCATCAAAGGTCACCAAAGGTTTTTGGCCAATAACTCCGTACAGGAACAAGATACAGACGCGTGGATGGTCTCATTGTGTTCAGCTCGTCAAGACGCATCGAATGATATACATGATGACCTCGAGGTCACGTGACCTGAGGTCAACCTTTGACCTTGACCTTTCGAGGTCAACATATATATCATTCGATGCGGATTGACGAGAGGATCACGATGATGCCCTTAGTTTGTTCCTATCTTGACTAATTCGAAAGTTATTCGAGAAAAACTCTCTCCATATCTAGCGCCGCCATTTTGACTTTTTCGACCCCTGTGACGTCATCTTTGACCTGACCTGAAAATGACCTTAGTAAAAATTGTAGATCTTGACCGTGCGTATCCGATGCCGTTTACCGTTTGTCGCTGCGATGTGTAGTTTTTGAGATCTGAAGGGGGGCCGAATCGGCCCCCCCCGCCAGTTTCTTGTCCCGGCGGAGCCCGCCAGGAATAGGGTTAAACCTCGCCCGTATAGGGGGAGGGGGTCGAACGGACCCCTCCTCGGTTATCGCGAATAACTCGCGTAAAAAGCGGTCGATTGCGGCGAAACTATTGTTTTTTTATGTGCCGTTTTTGGACAACAACACAAATCATGACGTCTGTAAAGCTCGATGATCCAAAAAGCTTTCTACCGATTTTTTGTCTTACTCTTTGCCACAATTAACCTAAAAAAGTACGCTACAAGTACCTAAAACTTCGCGCGCCTTTGCTGAGCCCTTTTTAGCTATAGGGCGGTGAATAAGTGGGATATTCCCCCCCAAATGCTCAAGCTGCTGATATGGTGGTGTTTCTTCCTCACTCTTAAAAGTATCGTTTCGTCAGGATCACCATTTATTTTGAATCAATTCTAAATAGTTCAATCTGAAACTGTTCCTGAACCGTGAAACCGTTTTAAGTCCTAGCCAATCCACGACTTCATTATACGGAAAAATCATAATACAATGCAGCGAACTGACTTTGTCCAGTATGAAGCAACTTTTAACTTTTTTATTATGTGGAAACAGGTAGGTACCTATTTCATATTTTTTTTTTGTTCCAATGCAATATTGATATGGCTGGGGCATTTACCGTCACGGTGAGGATACAACTCACCTTTCCCACGGCGATTCCCCCTCCCACACACGTACTATTTATAGCTCATGTGTTATGACGCCATGTCACTTGAAGCTATTCTACCGAGTCTGAACCTCGGTCGTTGATCGTTAGGAGGGTACGCCCCGGCGGTTTTGTTAGGTTGGTCCGGCTGTGGCGCCGGTCCGACCAATATGGTGGCGCTCCCTTCCCCCCCCCCCCCCTCCCCCCGGCTCGGCGGGTTTCCCAGCCATCCTGTCGGCACGACGGGTGAGTTCCATTCTCAGCCGTGGCCGCTCAGCCATTACTGTAAATCGCACTGAAATCACATTGTAAGCTACCCGCACCCCAAACACTTTTGTCCCGCTGTATTTCCATTGGTAATTCTGACATTGATTGACGACGTTGCCATGGCGACGGCGCGCGTCGACCAATGAGCGGCCGGCTGGCGGACGAGGATGATAGGTGGTGTTGCTGGCGACTGGCTGACTCCGCCCCCTGGCTGTCGGCTAATCTGCCGGTGTGAATGGGAGATCATTACGGCCGACGCCAGCCAGTGAGCGCCGGCCGGGCGGCGGCAGTGATCCGGCGGGCGGGCGGACGCGCGGTGGCTCGATCCTGCGTCTCACGCGGCCGGCCAGTGGTGCTATGGCCGCTCTTCAGGGAGGCGGCGGTGCGCCGCTCGTGCCCACGCCGCTGATGGCGCTGCCCAGTATCAGCTTCACGGCCGGTCAGGTGGCCGCCGTCTGCGAGACTCTGGAGGAGAGCGGCGACATCGCGCGACTGGAGCGCTTCCTCTGGTCGCTGCCGGTCGCGCACGCCAACGTCGCCCAGCTGTACAAGTGTGAGCCGTTCCTACGAGCCAAGGCGCTGGTCGCCTACCACAACTGCAACTACCGCGAGCTCTACCAGATCCTGGAGAGCAACAAGTTCTCCAAGGGATCGCACCAGAAGCTGCAAGCCATGTGGCTGGAGGCGCACTACGCGGAGGCCGAAAAGCTGCGCGGCCGGGCGCTCGGACCTGTCGATAAATACCGGGTGCGTAAAAAGTTCCCCATGCCTCGGACAATATGGGACGGTGAGCAGAAGACGCACTGTTTCAAGGAGCGGACGCGGAGTCTGCTGCGCGAGTGGTACCTGCAGGACCCGTATCCGAACCCGACCAAGAAGCGCGAGCTGGCGCAGGCCACGGGACTCACGGCCACCCAGGTGGGCAACTGGTTCAAGAACCGCAGGCAACGAGACCGCGCCGCCGCCGCCAAAAACAAGTGAGTGCATTATACGTTCAGAGGATGATGGGAAAGAAATTGTGGGTCGGACAGAGAGTATGTTGGTAGAAGAGTACCTATCTGTGATTGGAGTTGCTATTATGTTGTGTTGTCTTTTTGTTCTTCATTTAGTTTTACGCAAGTTAATTCTTATTTCAATCCCGAAGCGCTGGTAAAATCGTAGTAAAATTGAACGGAATAAGTCATAAACAAAGCGGCAGTTTAATTTCAAATTTATATCATCCAGTACTGCTCGTTAGATGTATTCCAATTTTACTCACAATAGTAGGAACGAACTCGTTAGTTGAGCGGGCGATAAGCATAACACCAGCTCATGAAAATATTATAGACGGGTCAGATAATTGTTGAAGGTTCGCATCATGACATGATAACAAATAAGCAATTTTTAAACGGCAAATTTGTCGTTAACTTATATTGTGTTGGTGCTAAGGGTTGGCGCAGGTTGAAAGTGCATGAGGCTAAACAAGGGCTTCAAGACTACTTAGGCACCCAGTAAGACAGAGGAGGCAGCAACAGCGGACTGGAAGCTGAGCCTGGCCATTTTGGCCATTAGGATAGTACTCGTAAATCGTAGAATGCCTCGTCAGTCATTTGCGCATAGCGCAGAATGTGTAATTGTGTATCTTGTTATAGTCAGCCACTATAAAAAGCTGCCAGCTGTGTTACCAAAAAAGTTGAGGGAGTGCCTGTCTGTATTAATGGGGGCGATGGGTGACGGAGTTTTGTTGAGTCAGCTGCTAGGACAGCTGTGGCGGGTCACTCCGAAAGTGGGCGGTAGCGAGGCAGCAATTCGCACCCGCAGTTTGTGGTTCGTCATGTAAAACGGGTTACAAAGGTCGGTAAATATCTTGGGTTAATTGGAGGTGGAGTGTCGGCATGCCGGGTCAAACGGGTTGTATGTTAGGTTTATCGGAGGTCGAGCGGTGCTCAAGTCGGGTTAATCGGAAAGCTCGTGGTCGGATGTCGAGCTAATCGGAATCTCGAGCTCCCGATGTTGGCTTGCTCGGACCTGCAGTGTTCAGTCGGGTTTCTTATGGCTACGGTAACACATAAATTTTTAGGTATGTTTTGAACGGTCGGTCGGTATGTCGGGTTAATCGGACACTAATCCGGAACTGGAAGTGTGTGGGGTTCGCCAAATTGCTCTATTTCTTCGTTGCAATTATGTCATAGCACTTGTGACCAAATGTTTGCAGACAATAAAACTCACAACTCAAAACAGCGAAGGGCTTAGTTAAGCTCGAATTGATTCATTTATGGATTTCGCTATAAGAATGATTTTCCACACCCCATTGCGCCAGGTTCAAATAATTCAGATAACACCGAGTTACCATTTTGCAATTGTTTTTGCATCGTCCTCGTCTTTTTTTCTGAACAAAATGGAGTGCTTGTGGTTAAAATGAAATGATCCGGTGAAATACCTGTGTCTGCAGGACAGGCAGGGTTCCGTGCATCATCTCCAAGTGAAACCTTGAGTTTCCCTTCCTGATCGCCGCCCAGCATTGAGACAAATGTGTCTCACAGCGGCGGGAGTTGCCTCATTATAGCCTAATTTGTCTGCGCTCACGGAGCTACAAATAATGGCAAAGGCCAGTGACAATAACAAAAGTGATAATTAGCGACGTAGAAAATGGTTATTACTGCCTGCCGCTAATGACCATTGACATTTGTAACAAAGATAAATGTTACACAAACCAAGTGACAAATGATTGTTGGGAAAATTATCAGACAGCATTACTCATGAACGGATAACTTTTCCGTGATATGCAAACCAAGCGACGGGATGGTTACGGAGCGAGCGAAGCGAGCGGAGTCACGTAGAATAACGGAAATTTCTGAGTATGAGCGGCCGGCCGGCCGTGCGGACGCTTTTGCGAGGCTTATATCTCAGCAACCACTTGACCGATTTACATGCGGTAATTTTTGTAGGGTAGCTTCATTCCTTCTACCAAGTATTGGACTATTCCCGATGCATTTGGGTGACCCCTTATGCACGTGCCACGTGCAAAACGAAGAGGTGTCAGTTTTGTAATTGTTGCAATATCTCGGTAACTACTTGGCTGATTGCGCTGAAAGTTGGCATGTAGGTAGGCACCCACTAGGCACTGCATATCCATGTGCCAGAGTTGGGGTGCTGCTGCACGTGCGCACGTGCAGGGGTCGTTTCCAGATCTCGAGAACGGCTCGACCGATTGCGCTCAAATTTGGCACACAGTTAGGGACCGGTTAGTAGGGTGCCGTGCAAAAGTCAGTCGGGACCCATTTTGCACGTGCGCACGTGCAGGGTGCCGCTCCCAGATCTCGAGAACGGCTGGGCCGATTGTGCTCAAATTTGGCACATCGCTAGAAACCGGTCAGTAGGGTGCCGTGCACAAGTCAGTTGGAGGTACCCCCTCGAAATTTCGCACGTGCAAGACTCATCCCCTCGCTCGCTCCGTTAGTCGCCCCAAAAGGCGCTATACTGGTTATATGGTAGATAAGTATGATGACAGATTAACTGCAATTTTTGAAGCTATCGCTCATTACTGACATCACATCCATCAAGTTATAAAAGCTCAAGTCGTGTGAATGCTTTGGGTATACTTGTGTATAGGGGAGAGTGAGGCAAAGCGGTCACCGTAATGCTTCTTATGATACCGAAGCTTGATTTTTTTTTTAACTTGGGAAAGATTCTGTCTATGTATACTAATGTGATCACCACTAAACTGCCTTTTATCTCAATGCGTTTCATTTCCATAGGCGTTCCCATATGGGAGATATTGGCAAAACTTTACACCTATGCATTTTGGCCACTTTGCCCCATACCCTGGGGCAAAGCGGCCACCGGCGACTTCAAAATTGCCGACATGAGAAACAGAATAGTTGCCAAATGCACGACTAGGGTATTTGATGGTGATAACGCTTAAACGAGGATGGATGTTTAATTTGCCATCATCCAACCTGCAGGTAAACAAAAAAGGAAGTTCATGGAAAGATGTAATTGCAATAGTTGGTAACTCATGTAACCGAAAAGTGGTCAAGATGAATGAATAACGATACATTTCAATGTCAATAACGTTTTTTGTCCAGCTGTAAACATCCTATTTACCAATTCGGAGCTGGCCCCCGTCCACTTTGCCCCGAGCATACCGTGCGAGACAAAAACATTCCAGCTCAGCTATTGATGTGGCAAAAAGCATTAAAATTGGTAAAAGACATCTACGACAACCACACAACGCATGAATGAGACCGCTTAAATAAAATTTCAAACAGTTATGAAATAAAATACCATTTAAAAATCGTTAACCCGCGCATGACTGGGGGGGCTCTACAGAGCCCCCCTCCCGTTTTTCAGCAATATTTTCTAAACCGTTTGACGGATCAACACGAAACATGCGGTACCCTCAGAGGCATCAATTTGACACCTTGTGTTAAAATTTCAACTTTCTAGCTACCATAGTTTGGCCGGAAATGACGTCAGAGTGACGTCATGTCGGCCGATTTTCATGCAAAATACTGAATTACGGCAAACGCTCTCAAGAGCTCAGTTTTAAAAGCTAGATCCATTTTCTTTACATGAGTGGACTACAAATACACGTAGCTATCAAACTGCTATCTCGAATTTTCGAAATTTTGAAAATTTTGAAAAATATGTATTTACAATTACAAAAAAAAAAGATTTTCAAAAAGTTTTTGACTTTTCGCAAAAACCGGAATATATGTGATAGAACACACACTGATGAACTACCTTTGCAAGTTTTAGCCCAATGTCTTCAAAAATAGCCAAGTTATTCGCATTATTGTCAAAATTTTACAATTTTATGTTTTTCAAATCCATTTTTCAGTACGTTTTTGACGTCGTACAGCAATATAAATGGCACCACCTTGTTCCTAAGCTCAAACTGCATCTGATAGCCACCTTTTTTGCTGAAAAAAATCATTTTCAAAATTTGATCTTTTCTGACCTGAAAGTGACCTGACCTCCGGTAAATTCAGCTGACAATGACCTTAAATGACACAGACGACACTATTTTCGAAATCTACGAATAAAATGGACCATAAAACATGCGTCACGTGACCGATACATGATATACAATTTTCGTGACCTAGGATGACCTGGCCTTGACCTTAAAAATTCGAAGTAAAAGTTCGGTACCCTCAGGGTATCTAAGGCATCCGTCAAGGAGTGCGTAAATCAAAAATGAGCCTGATCGGACCGGCGCGGCGGTCCGGCGGTCGGAGCCTAAATTGTGAACTAGCAAAAATGTCGATAATTTTTACTTTGACCTGACCTGTGACGTAATCGGTGACCTCGAGGTCAATGAAAATAGATTTCGCTCTACAGTTTTTCCAGGGCTATCAGACACCGTTTGAATTTTCACGATCGGCCCAGTAGTTTCGGAGATAGGAGGGGGGCTCTGGAGAGCCCCCCCCCCCCCCCCCAGTCACTCGCGTTATGGAAAATACCCCAGTCATGCGCGGGTTAAAATAGTTAGAAAAAAAATAGCAAACTGGCAAGAAATGCTTTTCTGTGTATCACAGAAAAATGGCGATAGGCCAGGACCCTCGGTCTGGCTCATTCAAACGACCGCGAAGAGAACTATAATAAGCAACCATAAACTGGAGCTGAAGCCGGCATGTGAAGGGCTCAAAAACCATGGGTGGCCGCTTTGCCCCACTCTCCCCTGCTTGTGTTATTTGGATCTGTCCAGAGACTGGAGAGAAGTTGACTTGATATCACGGAAGCACAGCGGCTCACATCAAATCATGGTCACAATCAAATAACCGGTGTACTCGTATGTAAGCTGTGAATTTGAATGTTGCATGTGACATGATTGTCAAAATATGTTTAAATCGCAGTAATTGTGTTATTGCGAGTGAGCGAGCGAAGCGAGCGTCAGCGAAGGGAAGTCTTTTCAGTATAACGGAAAAAAAATCAGTGCGAGTGGCCCGACCCGGCCTGTAACGCTTTTGAGAGGCTTATAACTCAGCAACTGCTG